TCGCTCGACATACACTTGAGACACAGGATAACGAGGACATTAACACAACATATGTCACTCAGCACTGCCCAACACATTCTGATTCGACCTCAGCACTTATCCTGAATACTTCGAACAGCGCTTGCGCCCCTTTTTGCGGTGCTCGCTCGATCTCTTCTTGTGCTTCCACGTTCTTTTTCGGCGAGCCCTTTCCAACGACGATATCTGAGGCGTCGTCTCAGCCATCGTTGTCTCTTCCGACACCGTTAATGCGTCATTACATTCGACGGGTCCTGTCTGTTTATTTACCCGCTTGATAATGCCTCTACTTTTTGCCCGGCTGGCCAACTCCGTCTCCTTTACACTGTCAGTCGGTCGAGGTCGTGCCGACGTACATCCAGTTGCTCGGCCTGTGAACTTATTCGACACGATCGTCTTCTCCTTCGCTGTCTCTTGCGCCGCAGCTTCACCTTGGGCTCTGGTGAGACCCGTCACGGGATGCTCCTCCACTGTATCTCGCGGCCGCTGAGTTGGCGAGGGCTCTATCTTCGGGTCTTCTCCCAAACATTCTGGATCACTTGGCCCTCGCGCCCCGTCGATGTTTCCAATGACAAGGTCATACAGGGGGCTTGTCATGCATAAAGCAGTAACTTTCCCGCTGAAGTACGGGGTTTCAACCTCAATTTCTGCTTCAGGAAGCATCCGAACTGTACGGTCAATTAAGCAGACCGGTTTCGTTTTGCCTGTTAACTCCCTTTCCCGTACCAAATCTCTCCGCACGATAACAGTGGAACTGCCGGTATCTCTTAACACCGTAATCTTTTTGTCCGCAACTTTTCCAGGCAGCGCTGGCATTCCTTTCGTAACACCGGTTGGCTGTTTTGACATTACAGCACCCACAATAGGAATTTTCTCCCCATTTTTCAATTCTACGAATCCGTCGGTGACGGCATTATTATCGGATTTCGGTGCCACCTGCACACAGGATACCTGGTGAGTTTGACTCACTCCGTTCCGACAAGCGTCTGCTTTGTGCCCAGTCTGACCACACTTAAAACATTTTACTGCCGTAGGGCTCGTAAAGATCGTTCGACAGTTTTTCGCGCGATGACCCACTCGGTTGCACAGAAAACATCGCGGAATGCTCTCTGGTGCACGCTTCTTTTCTTCGGCATCCAATTTCTTCGAATCATAGGGGCACTCCTTCTTTACCTTGGCCAAATTAGTGCCACCTTGCGCTTCCAAGAATTGATCAGCCAATTCAAGCATTCCTTCAAATGACTCAGCCTTCCTCTCTTTCAAATACAGCGACAGGCTTGGGTGGCAACTAGTAAGAAATTGTTCTCTAATTAGGAGCTCTCTAAGTTCATCGTACTCCTGCGCTGTCCCTGAAAGTTCAATCCATCTGTCGAAATAATGGCAAAGTCGGGCGGCATACTGCGTAGCCGTCTCACCATCAGCTGGTTTTCCTGTCTGAAATCTGTCCTGGAATCCTTCCACCGTGAATCTAAATCGCTTCAACAAAGCAGCTTTCACCTTTGCGTAGTTGGCTGCATCGGTCGGCGTCAGCCTACCGTACACACTGAGCGCTTCACCACTCAAGCAAGTACTCAAAGCAGTTGCCCATTGATGTTCCGGCCAATTCTGGCTCTTCGCAATCGTCTCAAATCGGTGGAGGTACGCGTCTAGGTCGTCCTTCCTTTCATCAAACGCTACGAGCAGCTTGCTTGGGTTCAAGCGGAAGCCGTGATCTTCCCGTTCGCTGCTTTCAACTCTAGCTTGGACGGGAGTTTCACTTCGCTGTTGCAAACGGAGCCGCTCGAGTTCCATCTCGTGTTGCCGCTGCCGCTCCCTTTCAGCCATCTCCGCTTCTCTTTCTTCTCTCGCCCTTTCGGCTGCCAACTTTTCTCTCTCCAGCTCCAACTTCAATTGCTGCTCTCTTTCTTCCTTCAGCTGTCGCTCTTTTGCCTCTCTTTCTTCTTTCAGCTGTCGCTCCTTTGCTTCTCTTTCTTCTCTCGCCCTTTCAGCTGCCAACTTCTCTCTCTCCAACTCCAACTTCAATTGTTGCTCTCTTTCTTCCTTCGCCCTTTCAGCGGCCAGCCTTTCTCTCTCCAATTCAGCTGCTTTTTCTTCCTTGGCCCTCTCAGCTGCCAACCTCTCTCTCTCCACCGCCTCTTTCTCCTTCTGGCTTACCCACTTCCGTAGTTCGGCGCCAGAAAGACCCATCTTCTCACCAAGAGCGACTAACTTTTCGAGACCCATGGTGTCTCGCAAATAAAACCTTGCCGCGTGCAAAAAGTATCTGCCTAGATCAGTCTATCGGAACACTCCCCTGCACTCGTTAACGAGAACACTGAACAACACACAAAATCGTTCCGATAGCACTATCACAACTCGAGGCTCTTTCTCACTACTTTGGACACACTGTGCACCAAAGGGTCCTGTCGCGGACGCCAGATTAATTGTCACACCTGTCCCGTTTATTAGGGAGGCGATCGCCGGGCTAATTCCAAGAGCCGAAGTATCTGCCCCCCGAACCGCACCACGAAAGCGTGGACATTTTAGAAGTGGTCCTTATTGGTGCGCCAGCGGACGCCGGCTGTGGCCCAAAGAACAAGACAGAGCCGAGAGTTGATAAACAAACAAATTATATTCTCAATAATGGCAGATCGAAAACAATACGCAAAAATGCACACTCCACAATAGTTGCATACAATATGTCACCAATCAAACCAATCAATCAACGTACTACACAATACAATCAGCCACACTTGAAACAACGGACACGGACAACAATACGCACTACAATGCAGTCGCATGCATTGAACAACCAAGACACTTAAGGACTAAAGCGATAGAAATCCTATTCAGTCCAAAGTTCTTGGAACCAAAGTCGAGATGATACTCTTCCGAGAATCACTCACTCAAAGTCCAGCGTTGTTGTCGTTCCGCAGCCCTCGAAGTTTCTCTTCCAGGAAACTTCCCGTCTTCAATTGGCCACTCTTCAAACTTCAACTTCTTCGCCCGAACACGTCGGCTTCACACACGCAGCTGTTGCCACGCGTCCTCGCTCAATAGCGGTAAACCCACGCTCTTGCCTGTAGCTCGAGCCGTCCCTACGGACCAAAACTTCGCCGACTACACGGCGGAATCTCTACGCACTCTGGCGCTCACTTCCGTCTCCTCCTGTTCTGTCACTACGGGCAGAACCTTCGCCGACTACACGGCGGAATTCCTACGCACTCCGGCGCTAACTTTCCGTCTTCTCCTGATTTCTCGTCTCGGCTGCTCGATTAAATACTTTCCGCGCCACCTTCCAGAACGTTCTCCTCGTTTCGTCGGCGCGACGCGCAGCGAAGGCTGGGGAGAGGCACGAGACGGTTCGACTGCCCTCCCCGGAGGATGATTCACTCGGTCTGACCACGCTTCCTTCGTTCTAGAAAAATCGCGGCCTTGCTGGGCCGCCGATGTGGGGTGAGGAGGATCGTCTGCGAAGCCGTGCTTCTGCGGGGAGAGCGCGCGCCCGGGAGCCCTGGATGTTTGCCCTCTTTCTTTTTTCTTTTTTACCTCGCGGCGTTTCTGCCGCCCGTTGTCGCAAGGATTTGGCGGCGCGCTCCTTTTTTTAGCGCTCGTTCTGTGACAGCAAACCATTAATATCAAGGAGAAAAGAAAGAGGGCCTAATACACTACCCTAGGGTACACCTGACGAGACAAATGAATGAAGTGGATGAGCTGAAGTTATTGACAAATTTAAGCTGCTGTCGATTACATAAAAAAATTCCGGAGCCAAGATAACGTCCACTCAAGTCTAATAGCCGATATTTTAGGCGACAATGGGCAACTCTGTCGAATGCTTTCGCAATGTCTAGAAAGATGCAATCGATGATTTTATTATTATTATTTCCATTATGTAAATCCGGCGTAAATTCGAAAAGTTTAGTATCGCACGATAATGTTTTCCAAAAAACCATGTTGATTTACAAAGAATAGGTTATTAGACTCAAGATGACTGTAAATATGAGAGACGATGATGTGTTCGAGTAGCTTGCAAGAGATGCTCCCCATAGGAGGATTCGCATGACTACTAATTATATGACGGCTGGCCACTCAAGTGACGAAGAAGAACATTCCGTTCACGCGATCCACGTGGCAGCGATTCGCGCTCAAGAAGGCGATTAATCTAGTAGTGGATCAGCTGCGTTACAAGCCGTTCTGCTGTCACCCTGGCGTCTGACAAAAAATGCCGAGCGTGAGTGTGGCCCCTCTGTAATCTATACCCCATTAACTACATAGGCAGACGCACCTGGTAGTCGTATTTTAGTTAGGCCGAAGTAACGATGCAACTAGTAGCTGTGTTAGCATTGAGCCAGCTGGACTATGCCGAACACACGAATAGTAGCAGCGGTAAGACAGCAACTGCTTGTTCTAGAATGCGCCCTCGGTTGAGCTTAAAGAAAGCTGGCGACTCAAAGGCGATGTTGGATCGCAGGACCCTCTAACGGTATCTCGCACGACGTGAGATTGCGAAGGCGGACGGTACATTTCATCTATCTGCCAATATCTCCCTATATTAGCCTAACGTGTCTCTACAGGTGTCGCTAGGTCTAAAGCTCTATAGTAGGACTGAAAGGCGGGCGAGTTGGAACTTAGCCATAATTGGGCAGCGCACAAAAACTCTATTTTCAGACTCAGATATAATCAACAGCACTTGGATATGAGTGTAGTGGATAATGAAGTTTGTCGAGGAATCAAAAGTTCAGGAACTAAGGTAATCTTGGTAGTACGTACTATTTATTTAAAGACAACCTATTCGAGCCTGTCTGAATTTAGCTGCCACCTCTGTCGCCACTGAGGCTATCTTACGGAGGTCCGTTTTCTCTTTTTTAATATTGTTCAGTCCCACCTCCCTAGAGATACACCATTAGATTCACCGCAGATCCCACTCAGATTTTGGAGCAGGTCTGTTTCTGAAAGATCATGCTTCACTTACTGTATCGCCACCATGAAACATCATTGAAATGATGTCCCCCCGCAGTACGCCGAGCGACCCTTCGCTGGTTGCTTCCGCGCACGAGCAGCAGCAGCCTCCACCACAGCCGGCGTCTGTCTCACCCGGCAATGCCGCCATGGAGGCGCTGCGTCGGTGGCGCCCCCCGGTCAAGGGTGCCACGCCCACATTGGCGGCGGGCGATCCAAAGGCCGGGGGCTGCCACCAGCGTGCCATGCTGGTCGCCCTGCTGGTCAACATGTCGGCGGGCACGACGCTGGGCTACGCCTCCGTGTCCATGTCCGGCATCGAGCTCGAGCCCTGGTACAGCTTGCCGCGCACTACACCCGAGAACCAGTGGATCGCCGACATCCTGCTGCTCGGGGCGGCCGCTGGAGCGCTGCTCTCCGGTGAGGCTTAAGGTCCCTAGATGAAACAAACTTGTTTCATCTAGGGACCCTAGTGAGGCTGTCACAGACGTGTACCATCGTGGCCAGACGTCTAAAAACCGTTATGTTATTTTCTGTTGGACACGTGACGGCTCACTGTCACACTCATGTCAATCCGTCTCTCATGATCGATTGGGCCCTTGGTATATATAAAGGAGGTTAAAAAAACTTCCGTGTGGAAGTTATCGCAACGCGTTATTTAGTGTCGTGCGCATCGAAGGCAACTGGTATTGCTCTGTTAAAGGGACACTAAAGTCAACTATTAAGTCAACGTTGATTGTTTAAATGACCGTCCAGAAACCTCTTAGTGTTACTGTTGTGCCAAGAAAGGGCCTATTTAGAAATAAAATCATGTTTTAGGGCCCTCGCATTGGGTTAGCGCACTTCATATTACCCGCCTCAAGAAGCGGACCGACCGGAACGTCTCACGTCACTGTTGCCATGCACAACGTTGCCCGGCTTTACTGCGCTAGTAGCAGCAGACCGAAAGCAGCGGGAGTCCACAGCAGCAACAACGGCTATTGATGAATTTCCCGCCATTGGCTAGAGATTCGAGATTGCAGACGCTTTTGTTTCAACTACTTCCTGCTAGATGGCACGACTTGTCTAATGCAACCACGCGAAAATTGAATTTTTGAATCACTCGCACCATTCCCCATAGCGTCTGGTGGTTCTTTTTTCCATGAATCAATAGAAAACGAAAAAACAGCACTTTATTACGTCTCTTAATGCCCGGAAGGTTCCTTATTTAGTGCAGTTAGATCGATTACTAGTGATTAATTGTAGGTGGTCCGTCTGATGTCATCGGGATTATTTTGAAAATGTCCTACTGCGGCGCTTGTGTTCTTGTGCATTTACCTAATTTCTCGGTAAGTAGGGCACTGTTGCTGATAATATTGTCGTTTTAGATGTTGCCATACATTCAGCTTTCACTCTGGCGTAAATTGTTATTTGACTTTAGTGTCCCTTTAATATAAATGCGAGGTTATGAAATCGGAAATCACGACGAAATTACCATACTGAGCATTAGTATTGACGGCTTGATCTCTAATCATGTTTGTCAGAACCTCCGAGGCTTCTTAAGTCACACGTTGATTAGTATCTGTCGAAAAATGTGTCTTATAAAAGTGCTTCAGCAATGAAGGATAATCCTTTCTTGTCTTCTCGGAAGGCCGTCACGAAGAAGGTGGCATTGGTCACGATATTTTGGAGGGCGCAACTTGACCCTTGAGGCGGCAAGCCCACTACGGCAATTTAGTTAAAATCTCCTCGTCTATATCGAACCTGGGGCGACAACATGGGTCTATTACGATGGCGCATGCCACTCACATTTTTTTAGCCTTGGGATTTTGACAGGAGCGCATGTGAGGGTCACTGTCACGAGCAAGTGCTCTTCTACGTTTTTCTGTGAGGAGGTTCACACGGACGCGAGACAGCAGAGCACGCGCGAACACCGATAACACCGATCGTTACTGTCTTGTTTTTGCTTCGTTATTTGACGCATCCAGGATTTCTGCTTCACATGCTGGGCCACAGAAGAACGCTGCTGCTGTCCGCCTTCGGCTTGATCAACGCCTGGATGTGCATCGTCGTGTCCAACAGCGTCACCATGCTCTTCATAGGCCGAGTAACGTGTGGTATCTGGCTCGGAGTCTCCACCAACACCGTGAACCTCTACGTCATCGAAGTGGCCCCTGCTGCAAAGAGGACCTTCTTTGGCGGGCTCACCGAGGTTCGATATATGTTCCACGATTCAATCTCGTTAAAGATGGTGCAAATTTGATTTCGCTGTAGTTAGGTTGTAAGTTCAGTGTCGTCACGAATGGCTTTCGCTGTGAACGCAAAGGAAGCTACCTGGCAGAATAATTGCACCTCTCTTATTGCACCGAGTAGTCCGTAAGGTTTTTGACTACGCTTTTTGTTACCACTGCAACAGCTTAGCGCTCAACTCGGAGGTGCTAAGGGTTCGCTCTCACGTTGACGCAAAAATGAGAAGAAAAAGAAAAAGCAATTTAATTTCACACTTGGTATTTTGTCTTATTTCTAAGAGTGAGCTGTATCGATTAACGTCCTTTTTTTTTCAAGGTGTAATTGAGTGATGTCGACGGACTATTTGAAGAAGAGCCTTTATACGTTCTTTAACACGGTGTAGCCTTTACTTAATGTTCACGTAAAGTCAGTCGCTTGGATGATCGGAAGACAATCGCATGAAAATGTTGATTTGAAGTTTGATACCAAGACGAGTACATTCGTGTGACTTCGCGCTACTGTTGTTGATTGATTGATATGTGGGGTTTAACGTCCCGAAACCACCATATGGTTATGAGAGACGCCGTAATGGAGGGCTCCGGAAATTTCGACCACCTGGGGTTCTTTAACGTGCACCCAAATCTGAGCACACGGGCCTACAACATTTCCGCCTCCATCGAAAATGCAGCCGCCGCAGGCGGGATTCGATCCCGCGACCTGCGGGTCAGCAGCTGAGTACCTTAGCCACTAGACCATCGCGGCGGGGCGCGCTACTGTTGTAAACGTGCTTTTTCCCGTTACATATATTTACGTGGGCCACTTAGGAGCGATTGCTTGATACATGTAATATGCAATTAGTGTTGTACGGTAATTGAACAATGATTTCTTAGGCTGTATCTGAATTTGTCGCTTCTGTCTCCGTTGCACTGTACCGCTATATGGTAGAAAGCAGAAGTAATGATCAAGGTAAATGATAGATTGCTACCAGCAAGACAAAGAAAAATGGGTGGAAATCTGAACTAATCATCAAGGTAAATGATGAATCATTGCCACCGAGACAAGAAAAAAAAAGAGGTGAAAATCGGAACTAATGGTCAAGTTAAGGTGAACGATAGATTGTTACCAGCGATACAAGGGCACACTTTAGGGTTTCTTTGAAGTGTTGGAAGTCCACACTAGCCATGTAAAGCTTAAGCAGCAGCGAAGCTGGTTAATCTTATAGGCTTAAAGTGGCCTTCACTATAGGTCTTTTCTTTGCATAGACGAAGTGGAGTCGGACCGCTTTTTGTCACAGACCATGCAAGAATATCCAAACTCCGGGACCAAAAATAACGTGCACAGCTGGCTGTGGCATCACCCTTAGAAGCGCGGGCCTTTAACCACTCGTAGTCTGCTTGCGCGACCGAAAAACTATCTGCACCGCGGACTATCTCCGTCCGTGGGCGCAGCTGATAAGCAACGGCGCGTAAGTTTTCTGTGGACATGCGGCATTTCACCTCGATGTTTAAGACGTTCTCTCAAGTATGTGCGGCTGGCACCCACTGCTACAATATCAGCGAATTCTTGACGACTTTTACGTTTTGGCCTCTAATATCATCGACAGATGATTCTTAACATGCGGTTTATTATCCTTTTTATGGTCAAGTCTACATTTAAATGGCGCATTTTGTTTAATAAGAGAGGTTCGTTCAGTCGTCTGACAGGCTTGTACCACTTACAGGTGGCCTTGAGCGTGGGCATGCTAGCATCCTACGTGCTGGGCGGTATCGAGTGGCACATCTCGGCGATTCTGTTCATGCTGGCGCCAGTGCCCGTGTTTGTGCTGCAGGCCTGCGTCGTCGAGAACCCGCGCTGGTTCGCGACGAAAGGCCGTTACCGTGACTCGAACACGGCCATGGTTCGTCTTTACGGAGACGACGCGCCCACCGACATGAGACTGAGCAGGACGGGAGAGGATTCCAACATCTCCGCGATGGGTCGACAGAAGATGGTCAGGTAAGCGGAGCGTCGCACTGTGCTGGTTGCTGAATGCTCATTTAGCGACCGGCTCCCCTCCGTGAGAGATGTCGAAACATCGAAGCCGATGCCCAACTTTAGATGCAATGTTACATTTTGACGGGACGTCCAAGAATGACTATGATGTCGGCGACTACGTACAAAGAGCAAAAGAAGCAAAACAGCTGGCGCGATATCGTATTCGACAAGAACAAGAAACCGACGCGCATCGAAACAATATGCGACGAAGAGATGTCTAGTGTGCATTGGGAGACAGAGTTTGGGTGTGGATTCCGTAAGGACACGTGGCCAATCTGTAAAGCTGCTTCGCCGCTATTTCGGTCGTTCCACCGCCTCGGCTCACTGAACTACGAAGTTATTCCGAGAGACAGGATATTTAATCATGACAGCGGCACCACACGGAAACTGTGCGCGTAGTCAGGATGGAACCGTATTACGACCGGCAATGAACAATCGAAGACAAAAGGCTGTTCGACGGCAACTGCATCCACGAAGAGGTGTTATAATTCAACCACAATGCAACCAGTTTGTCATCGGGATGACGCACTCTGGAAAGGGGGCAAGGACACAATGAAATTTCAAGTTACGCGCGCTGGCTGATCCTTATACCATCTGAATGGTTTGCAGCGCACACGCTTGCGGGATCTAACTGCGTGCGACCCATGAGGGACACAAAGAACGTAGAGGAGAAAATAAGAAGACTGCTTTCGGGACTACTTGGAGATTTTGTTCTAGCCGTCCTCATTCTCGGGCACAAGTTCGTGTCACCTTCGTTAGTTTATTAGGAAGTGTGGCTTTGAACGGTGTGTTACAATATAGCCATGAAAAGGGATGAAAAATTAGGGGTTTTAACTCACAACCAGCCCCTTAGTTACGACAATGAATCGCTGAATTCATCTTAATTTTACAAATTGACAGTTATGGCGGCCCTTAATGCAAAGCTTTTGACCCAATATACGATGTGCCCAGTATAGATTTTTACCTGAACCAGCGTCATCAGTTTTGTAGCAGTTTGAGTTTCCAAATCATGCTTTATATATATATATATATATATATATATATATATATATATATATATATATATACTTAAAACCGGAAGTGAGCGCTAGACCAGAAGTTCTTGGTAAAGGAACATGATTTATTTGTGCCAATAAACTAGTTTGCGTTGCGCTTGCAAAGATAGCTCCGCGGTCAGCAAACACAATTGATCAGTGCGAAAGATACACGGTGTTTAGAAGTTTTGAGCCAGACAGAAAGGGCGCAGCAGTGGTGTAATCAATCAACAGAGAGGATAGCGAATGTGGCGCTTTGTTTATATTTTGTGATGCTGGATGATATCGCGGCTGATTTGACCAATAGGAACGACCTAAGGTAGCTTGCAAGGGCTGGAAACAGCTTGTTGAACTTGCACTGACTCGATGCACAACAGCGCTGTTTTACGACACTGCACGACAGCCTGCATCACCCACGAGACCACGTAATCGTCTTTCACGTTAAGAAGGGTTCGTTTACGTAGCAGCTGCTGCCACCGAGCTATCGATAATAGGGAGCTTTAGAATAGCGCACCGCGAGCCCTTGCGGTGCGGTCGCTACCTCTGCGCATGCGTCGTAACGCGAGTCGGCGTTCGCGGACCGCACGCAAAAATCCGAAATTGCGTGCGGTCATCGCGGCCCGCATGTGGCCCGCAAGCGCTGGTTTCGAGGCTGCGGTGTCGCTGCGATCGTGCGTTGCGTTGCAGCAGGGCAAACGCTGCTCTAAAACTGATATGGCGCCCGCTACGCCCGCAATGCCCGCAGCGCTTGCAAACGGTATTCTAAATCTCCCTAATCACTTGACACGGTGCAAGGCGTGTTTGTCGTATAGCCTAACAACCGAAAGATCGCTGACTGGTGCATCTTTATATGACATGCGAAAAATCGCACGGTCTCATATGCATTGGCCAAGACGACTCAGGCCATCTGTTTAATCTTATTCATTTGCGGGCCATAAGCCCGAGTGAAACTTGGTGCATATAGTGTAGTCCATGTGTGTGAGCTGTATGAGCTATGCGTTTACCACTACATATATCATGATCATCGCTCAGAACGTGGAGCAGCGCGCCAGGCTAAAAGCAAGACAAATATCTCCAGCTCTTCGTCAAAATATTTCTCTCTCTCTCTCTCTCTCTCTCTCTCTCTCTCTCTCTCTCTCTCTCCTCTCTCTCTCTCTCTCTCTCATTTTTTAATCATGGAGATTGTATTGATTCCTCTCAAAAAATATGTATAAAGCGTTCAGTGCCTAACGTGATTGTGTACTGCCTGTGAGCTCGGAGACCTTTCAAGTTTTGAGCTCAACACGCTGTTTCCCAGTGCCTTCGGGATCCGCCCACCTTTCACAAGTGACTGTCCTCTGGTGGCGTCGTCATACGGCGTCGTCACGTTGTGACATCGCAGTCACAGCCCAATGACGTAATATGACGTCCTAAATGTGGGCTTTTCGTAACACCATCCCCTGATGATTTTTCTCATCAAGTCGTATTGACGGCGTAGGTAACTTTATCCATTTGATGAGGCACGTGAGGTTACCGCCTTAGAAATTCTGGCAGATTTAATAGTGTTTGTGCGAACATTGACGAAGATTAGCTGACGAAAGCGATCTAAAACTCGCCACTACGGCGCAACCCTTAAAGGGACTGTCTACCGCTCGGAATTTTTTTTCTGATTGTGGAGTCATTGAAATCTTCACAATATATTGGCAGTACGAGAAATAGCTGTTGTTAGAATTTTTTTTTGCTTAAAAGCAAACAAGTTGCACTTGAATTTGTATTTTATGCACTTAAGGCAGCTTTGTATTGCGCCAGAAACCAATTTTTGCTTTTTTTTTTCTCACGCGTTCAAATAGGCGCCTGGTGGCGCAACCGGCGGTGTGCCCGCTTGCCTGCATGCCTGCATGCAAACGGCGGAAAAACGCTACTACGGCGTCCGCCGCCACTCGTGAGAAGAACAAAAAGTTGTGTGCGTGCCCAAAATGACCACTGAGGCAATTGTTTCATCAATAACCAAACTTGATGAAGCCTGCGAAAACCGCACGACAGTTTCAGTTTTCGATTTTCACCGGCACCCACCAGTGTTGTCGGCATTCATCCCACCGATGGAAGGAGACGTAACGCGGACAGAAAAACTCGGTTTTAAAAGTTTCTACGCACTTTCCTGAGAAACCACTGCAAGGTTAGACAGTTCACATGGTACGCTTCTTATTGCGACACAAAGCAGGAGAGCAATGAAGGACGGTAGACAGTCCCTTTAACTGTTTTCCTTCGGTACTTCGAGATCCTTACTGAAACACTGTAGAATACCGCTGATTTCTCGATGTATGGAAGAAGAACATCCTGTCCTAACAACTCGCAGGATGCTGACGGTCAGCGTGCTGCTAAGCCTGCTGCGGAACATGTCCTGCGCGCAGCTCGTTCTGCTGCGAGCCGTGCAGGTGACGGGCCCCCTGGTGGACGTGATGTCACCGCAGGAGGCGGCCTGCCTCTTGTTCGCCATGCACGTCAGCTGCACGACGCTGTTCACCGCCCTGACCCGCTTGATCGGCCGCCGCCAGCTGCTCATCCTCTCCTCGGTGCTGGTCGCCGGCGTGCTGTCCACCTTACGGCCGTTCGACCACGTCGTTTTCAGGTGTGCACGGACAGCGCACGCGCGTCAGTACTTCTGCATTTCGGTCCGTTGCCAGAGCTCCAATCGTTATTTTGCCGCCACCATTCCCAGACTTTATATAAGTTAGCCTTCCTCCATGCACGCTCCCCTTCGGCTTGCGCATTGAAGAACGCTAGTAGACGTCTGTACGTGTCGCCATCTCTCTGCGGCACGTATACAGAATAAACAGCGCGCTGTACAATTGAGCCCTGCCCATTGGACATACATGAGGTCTCATGGTAACATATTAAACACTCTAGTAAGCTGCGCGACAGTGGAAGTTTACCAGAATGTTCCAAATGGTCTCTTCTGCATATAACCGGGAGTCGTTTTATAAATATACTTTTTTTCGTCAGATATATATATATATATATATATATATATATATATATATATATATATATATATATATTGGCCTATTTCCCATTCGATTACGCTATGTTACCGTTGTCGCCGACGACTGATGTCGCAACGTTCACATGTCTCCAACTCCTGGCTATAATTTGCAGAATTTAAACAAATGGATGCTCCGCTGAGCTATGCTAATTTAAAAGTTGAACCACAACGAGAGCGACAACGACATGTACACGCAGCCCAATATAGGCGGATGAAGAGCGAATTTCACTGATTTTTTTTGCAAACAGCACCACCATAACATTTGAAGTAGCCCCTTACCGCTGCACTGAAATACAAGTGCTATAAGGAGCGTGAACTGCTACAGGCTTACTCCAGCATTTGCCACCCCTGGTGTTAGCTATTACCAGAGCACCTCAAGCGTTGAGGGACTCTGATATTACCCATGTCTAATATGCTCGAAAAAAGTACACAATCGTAAACATACGGTAGGGTGAATAATCTACATCAAAAGGTGGCATGTGCAATGTACCAGTGACGATATATCTCTGACCAAACCTGTTGACACGTCCAAGTCTTCGACCTAAAACAAGCGACAGTTGACGGTTAGCTACCCAATATGCATTTGCGGATGTTTTCTACTAAAGGCAACTTGCGAAGCTCTGTCTGCTACCTCTAAGTGCAACTCGACCAAACGTTTATCTTTTCTTAGTGCCGATTTCTTCAACAGTGCTCTCACCAATCCTTGCAGCGAGTGGTCGCCCGAGGCTGCTAGTGAGACCAAGTGGAACGCCTTGTCTTCCGTGTTCCTGCTTGTTCTGGCCTACTCGACGGGCCTCTGCCACGTGCCTCCGATGGTGATCAGCGAGCTGCTCCCGCTGAAGAAGTGGCGTATCTTAAGCGCCTCGCTGCTCTGGGTGTGGCGCTGGCTGGTCACCTTCGTTGTCGTCAACTTCCACGCGTACCTGCTGGGGGCCGGCGAATACGCGAGTCTCTCGGCTGCGTTCGGCCTGGCGCTGCTTGTGGTCGCTGCGACCGCCATTCCCTTCGTGCCGGAGACCGAGGGCCGCACGTTGGCCAACATTCACCGCGACGAGTGACGAAAGCATTCGGGCACGGTGACTCTTCTCCGTCGACACTGTTGTGCTGGCCTACCGTCACACTTGCCGGTTGCAAGCCAAACGTTGGTTTCAGCACAGAAACAGCATTGTGTTGTTTCTTTTAGTGCAATTTGTTGCTATATATCTTGCCGAACATTTGTACTACCTGTTATTTTAAGTACTTAAATGTGATGCCATAACCATTACGTCTTTACAAATGTAAAGCGTCTGGGCGACTGCGAACGTGGTTGCGCAGGTGATGCTTCTAGCGACATCAGCGCAACGCGGGCTCTCCCCTTGAATTCAGGTCAGTCTGAAGTGTTGACTGCATGGTGGTTTGTGCAGCGGATTCTGTGCACCAAAGACCGGCTTATATGCATTTCCTTTCTTTTTTTTATTTTTAAACGTAGCATTTCCCAGTGATTGAAATAGCGTGGCATATCCGATGATTCGAACTTTTTATATATTCAGTTTACGTGGCTAGTTATCTGCAGTTTGTACGCCTCATAAAGCTCTTCTGTTGAAAAAGACTATTTTTGGCACTTTACTCACGCCTTCTCTGGGAACCTGTCGAAGAATAAAAATGGCGACATGTACTCCATGAGCGTGAGTGATGCGTAAGCAAATGGTGCTATTCTTTTTTGCATTGCCCGAGTCATCTATGCCAACCTTGACGGCTTTGTCGTCCTTCGGTATTTTGAGGGAGTCCACGGAGTGTGATAACTTCACGGGCCCGTTCACCACCAGCGGAGTGTCGGATCGACTCTCTTTGCAGAGAAGACACTAGTTATGCATAAACTTTCTCCTGGGGATAACATCGTAGCCTATTAACTTAACACAATTACACCATTATGTTACTAACACCTCATTTTTAAACAAGTTGCTGGGTATTGTATATGTAAACGTACACGCTGAGCAGTTTCTGTGAACTTTATTGATATGTAGTTGTAGTAGTAGGTATACCCACCTCTAGTTTAGTTCTTGCGGTGTTCACTAGATTGCGGCCCTTGGCATAGTTGATAAAAACATGCGAGATGTTATAAAACTAGATGGCGGTACTTGTTGATGACGAAAGATGCTAGATGTTATAATAGAAACGATGTCGCATATGGTGCGTGTCATTGGTGGAAGGCAATCGTTCAATTTAGTGCAGTGGTGTACGCTACGGGGAGCATTGTAATAAAATTAGTTCGCTGTTGGCGTGCTCGGAGTCGCCGGATGCACAAGACTGCAGAGCGGCGAGCGCGCAAGGCGGCGGCAGCGCGCGGTCGCAGACAGAATCCTGATGTGCGAGCCCGCGAGGCAGAAGCGCGCCGTGCATCCTGCCGTACGAGAGCGGGAGGCCCAAGCGGCACGGCATACTCACACGGCGTTTCTCAAGTCTTTAAAGGATGATCGACTGGGCTAATTACACGGATGATTCGCGGTTTATCGATGATTCCCTCCGGAGCTTCGCCCACTCATCATCATTCACCCCGTGCATATGCTGCGATGTTTTTTTTTTTGTTGTCCTTTTTCTCTCCTTTTAACTCGTATCCTGACTTCGTGCTTCATATTACCTGATTGCTTCATGTGCTATATCATTATAATTGTTTTGGTAAGGTTTTTTTTTTGCCAGTCTTATCGTGCGTGCTGCTATTGTTGATGACGTATTGATTGCCTGTTGTTTTTTGCATGCTACAATTCATTGGACGGTGCTTCTTTTCTGTTATGTGTATGCCCTCCCTGAAATGATCTTCTTGTGAAATCGGCAGCATTATTTAATAAACGAAATAAACTAGGATTCACCTTTCATGATCGCACGCGAAGTGGACTAAGAAGAGCCAGCGAAAATTTGACCGGATGTTTGTAGGTGCGTACAGCCAGAGGTACCCGTGCAGTAATCGTCAGTTTCTGCAGTCCAGTCGCTTTGGAGAACACATTTTGTGCTGGCGGCTGAATATGGACTGTCTACGTTTGAGTAGCCTTAGCAGTGGCAACTTCTTGGAATCTTTTGAGCATCATGTGACAGTACACCTGCTTGAGGCTGTCCGTAAATGTCTATGCATAGTATGTGTGTGGCATGTAATGTAATAAACATGAATTCCAAATCGTACGTCCATATACTGTCATGATTCTTTAAACGATGACACATATCAGCTATGAAAGACAAGCACTGGGTCACGACAAGAACCAAGCGGTGTTCGTACACTATCTATAACTTGGGGTGTTATAAATGCCAACAAAGAAGAAAAAACGCCAGGCCTGCGCGTAAGGCGCAGCACAGTCACAGCGAAAGATAGACTAGCGGCCTTTCAGAGCCTTTTCTAAACACTCCTTGGGTAACTACAGCAAGTACACTTGCTTGATGAACACTATGGCATTATTAATAAAATTTGGTAGAAGGCCCACATTCGCTATGCTATTTTTCGTCATTCCACTGCGCTTTATAAAGTGCCTCGACATCGTGACAGTAATACACAAGATCGCATAGCAGGCCCTAACGTAGCCTACCTTCCCATATTTTTTTCTCAAGTATAAATAAAAAAATTTACAAATATCAAGTGCCTCTATACATATGATAAAGATGAAGATTTAAGCAGCATGGTCGGGGTTGCGTGTTTTCGTGCCGGAAGAAGAAGAAGAAGAAGAAGAAGAAGAGAATTCCTGCGAAGAAGCAAGTTTGTTCTGCCACGCACAACAGGAGAACGAGAACAAGAACAAGTTCTCTTCTACCACAATCATGACGGTTCACAAGAAATCGGACGCGTAAGCAAATGCCTCTATCCTTTGCATTTTGTCGAGAACCTTTTTCTGGCTCTCCCTCGACAGCACATTGCCTGCTGTTTCGCCGATACTGGACACAGGGCAAACTGAGCCGGCCCGATATAGAAAATTCAACGTATTCAAAAGTGGCGAGATAATTATTGCGCTCTGTTAATTGAGTCAATTCTGGTACAGCAGCGCACTGTGCCAAATAGTAGTATGCTGTGTCGCTGCATTCTACATTTAGTTGGTATGCAGTCATACAGCATTTGAAGGGACCGACATGCAGCTTGTCAAAAGGTGTGATTATATGCTGGTAGAAACGAAAATGCCGTGAAATATAGTGACAAATTCCGGCGTCACTTTCTGCTCGTGTGTGGGACTTATACATTGTTTTAATCGTAACAGAAAAAAACAGTATATCGCGTATCTTTGCGGAATAGCCTTGAACCGGTAACATGGAGCCCATCAGTTCACTTTTTGTAGCCAGTAAGTCAATGCCTGCGCTGCGAGACAGAGCGAGAAAGAGACAGAGCGAGAGACAGAGCGAGAAAGAGACAGAGCGAGACAGAGCGAGAAAGAGACAGAGCGAGACAGAGCGAGAAAGAGACGGAACGAGACAGAGCGAGAAAGAGACAGAGCGAGAAAGAGCGAGAAAGAGACAGAGCGAGAAAGAGACAGAGCGAGAAAGAGTGAGTGAGTGAGACAGAGTGAGTGAGTGAGTGAGTGAGTGAGTGAGTGAGTGAGACAGAGTGAGTGAGTGAGTGAGTGAGTGAGACAGAGTGAGTGAGTGAGTGAGTGAGTGAGTGAGTGCGTGTGCGTGTGCGCGTGTGCGTGTGTGTGTGTGTGTGTGTGTGTGTGTGTGTGTGTGTGTGTGTGTGTGTGTGTGTGTGTGCGTGCGTGTGTGTGTGTGTGTGTGCGTGTGCGTTGTCAAGAAAGAGATAGAGATATGCTATGAATGAGAGACATGATTTGGCTCCGCAGCATACTTTTGATCCATAGCAGCAACACTTCCTCGTCAGTATTCTCCTGCCATCACTTACTACGCCACACATACGCTCCTGCTCTTCCGTGTATCGATCGTTAGCACTTGCAAGTTCTGGTTATTTTACAGTGTACACTCACATCCACACCTCGATCAAGTTAATCGAACAGCTAGCTCCACAACTCTCGCAGATCTTCCGGTTCGGCAGCGTCAGCTCACGGTCCGGGCTCCGACGTCACCGAGATCGCGAGCAACGCGGCGATGGAGGCGCTGCGAAACTTGCAGCCGCCGGCCAAGGGGGGCAGTCCGGTCACCGACACCGACGCGAGCATGGCTCGAGGCGTGCACGTGCGCGCTATGCTGGCCGCCTGCCTGGGCTCCAGCGCCGCCGCCACGACGCTGGGCTTCGCGTCGGTCGCCATGCCTTACATCGAGCACGAGACCTGGTACGACCTGGCCGGCAGCGAGCCTCCCGACAGCCACTGGCTCGCGGACTCGCTGATGCTGGGTGCCGCCGGAGGTGCCCTCTTGTCGGGTGAGATGAAGATACCCAGGATAGCGAAAGGAGTCAGGGTCGTTTACGAGGACTTAGTTGACGTCCTCTCACTTGAAGACAGGCGTCGCTCTAGTACAGGAGAAACTCACGGTTTCTTGAAATATATATCGTGAAAAAGGGCACAAGTGAAGCCTGGCGTGTGCGTGTATGAGTCATTACTTTTCTTTCTTTCCTTCCCTATTCACTTATTTGCCTCTTTTTTTTTCAGTGGGAGTGTTGCCCTATTGTCCTTCCTGTTGCCTTCATACACACTGAAAGTGCAATTATTATTATGCGCATGCTCACGGGAAGGAAATACCAATCCCTAAATGAAAGACGTGCCGAAGTATACTTACCGAAATGAGATATAAAAATGAGTCGCTGTTCATCTTTAGTTTCAGGAACGTCTGGGGTGCTCTTACGAAAAGCGACAACATTTAATGGACCCTGTTTGACTGTGACATCCCCGCATTTAATGCGGATAGGATGTATTCTGCAATAGATGTATATACAAACAAATATCCAGGAAAGTGCGTGGACAAGGTTACAGCTGCCGTTACATCGTAGCAGTGCCGAGTATACGGCAAGTGCATCATGTGCGGAAGTTCTGGATTCGGTTCTCACCTATGGCAAGGCTTTCATTCTTTGATTCCCCTTTTCGTAACATCGGCAAGCTCAATTAAGGTATGTGCATGGGTAAACATCTGGTGTCAACGTGACACCCCCCCCCCTTTCATGATTCTGGAAGTGACATCCCCCCCCCCCGGCCCCAGTCCGATCACCAACGAACCGAAGCCTCGTCGGTTTCTCGAGTTGCCTTCGAGCCTCATTACACGCGCAGGATTAACCCTGTGGACGTTCGGCAGCCGGACTACGATGCTGACCAGCGTCGTCGGGCTGTCCGTGTCGTGGATCGTGACGGCAGCGTGCGTCGACCTGGTCGTGCTGTTCGCGGCCAGGGTGTCGTGCGGTCTGTGGCTCGGTCTCATCACCATCAGCGTCAGCCTGTACGTGGCCGACGTGGCGCCCGCCGAGAAGCGCGCCTTCTACACGGGACTCGCCGAGGTGCCCATTCATGCCCGTCCTTGCGAACTCACGAAATGAACATAACTAATGAGATTAGCATATGCAGTGTATATCTAAAGTTTCAAATACATTTTTTACCGTGCTAGGCATTGGTATATATCGAAAGTATAAGTTAGGAAGAAAATCAGATGCTTTATTCAGCTTCATAAATTAAGGACTGATTCTGCATCTCCCTCGGGAAAGCGCTCGACTCAATACTATCCTGAACATGTTCATGTTGAAGTAAAGTAACGCTCTGCACGATATCACTTATGTCTGAAAACTGGTCAAAATGTCAAATGCGCTCATTTTAGATGCGGAGCATCTTATACTCGCGCCTTGTAGTGCGCCGTCCACGCCGTCCGCACCGCTTCTCGAACATTCGACAGCTGACGCGCGCGCATGCGCCGTCGCGCCGTCGCCCACTCTTCCACCATCTGTGCATCCCTTCCTCCTCTACACACCGCGCGCGCTTCACTCCTCCACCATCTGTGCACCCTTCCTCCTCTACACACCGCGTTCGACATCTACAATTCTCCTGATTCTCCAGTGGACGCGCATGTGACGTCGCGCTTCGAGAACCTTCAACAGCTGACAGTGCATGCGCCGTCGTGCTGTATATATACTCAAGGTCGGCGCTCGCTCGCTCAGTTGCCGCTCGTCGGTTGGTGTGTACGGCGCGTCGACGTCCAAGGTCGCGGTGAAATGAATTCCAACGAATCCACAAACACAATGATCGACGTCCCTTCGACCAGCGCCGCCCTTTCGCATACGTGTGTACGTGTTCACTCATTTAACACCCCCTCCTACAACCACGTTAACCAATTTAGCCATCGACCCAAGTAAGTCGCACTTTAACACCCCGTTAACCAATTATATGGTCCGCATCCTCCTCAGTGTTCCCCCGAGGGAAGCTGCGGGCAATTTTTTTTGTAAGTATGACAGCTTGTCTAGCGTCTAGACACATTTTGGAGCTTTCAACACTTTTTTGAGCATAGGAAACCCCGACAACATGGAACTTCGCGCATCGGGAAACTTAAAATCTATTGCTAAAAGAACCAAGAGGTACTTGCTCTTTTTTTCAGAAATGCTGTCATCATCTACGCAGCCTGTTAAATCAAAAAGGCGCGACGATGAACCATTTCGAAGGCTGCATACGCCGGTGTCATGCATGTCTGATCCAGTAACGGTTCATGTATGTATACTGTCAAAGAAAATAAAGGAGCGAAAAATTGGCCCTGTATCAACATATCACACTGCAAATGTCGCCAAAAGACGATAGTCTGGAGAGAGTGAATAAAACGTTTATTTGATGCTCCGCGCAAGAAAATCGGTTAATGGTATTCTGAAGGCGCTGCGTTGGAGTGCTTCGAGCGTGCAGCAGACGCGAACGAGCGCATCAAGTCACGTTACGCGTGAGACATGAGCGCTATCTGGCAGTTATCTTGGAAAACGAAGCGCGCGGCGTACGCGCCCGTCTCGGAGGCGATAAGGTGTAGAACTCAAGACGACGGGTAGGTGCCACCTCCGTGTCGTCTGAGCAAAGCGTTGGAAATTGCCTTTTCGTGCAAGCGTTGCATCGTAGGCGCAGCGTAATAAGCGCTAGGGTCCTTACAATTACTTTGGTATGCGTTTTCTAGTAAAAAACGACACTCATACGGAATATGGACGTGTTGTTGTGGTGCCTCAGATATGCGCAACAATTTCTTTTTAGTTGACCATCGCACAAGTATGAACGCTGAAGCTTGAGCAATATTGGTGGGCGCTGCAGATCAGGTCAGCCGTTTGGTGTATCGATTGGTACCGCTTGGGGTATCGTTAAGGGCGGACAAACAGACGAATCATTCAAATTGTTTGTGCGAGGCCCACGAGACGGCGTTAGGCTCTGCCATAGTCGAGTACTAAGTACTCCAAATCGTTAACCACTTTTTCTAAACATATGTACAGACAGACTAAATTTTTTGCGTCGAAGGTCCCCAAGAAAGACAATCGTCTTTAAAATGGCCACGCCACGATTCGTGGTGACGTAACTTCAGGGCCTAATTTCGGCCTTTTGCCATTGCCCCTACTCCCTCTATGCTCTTCCTTCTATGTACCTTGTGGTGGCAGTTTCGTAAGCGCAAGTATTGACTGGGAGATAAGGCTTACAAACATACGTTCTTTATCATAAACGTAAAAAAAAGGCATCATCAAGGGCAACACACGTTCATATCATACAAGCGCATAAATTTTGCTTAAGGCCTCGAGAATCTCCTTCTCCTGCGCCTTCGTCACTGTAGAAAGTAACCTGACGGAACTCACGGCAGACGACGCGTACTTTATATAGCTGTAACAAGTAGGCAGTCTCTAAAGAACCACGTGCTATACGCACTTCCTAAGATTTCACAGTAGGAGATGTACATTCAGCTCAGTATTTAGACCAACCATTACACTTCTTTCTTTTTTTTCTTAACAACTATACTTTCATCGCCAGGCGGCTACCTGCTTCGGTATTGCGGCATCTTGCCTGCTGGAGGGCTTTTCGTGGCGACTGCAGGCCACGGCGTGGGCCGCGGCGTCTCTCTCGATGCTGGGCGTCCAGAGGTACCTGATCGAGTGTCCACGCTGGCTGAACGCCCACGGAAAGACACACGACGCGGACACTGCAGCCGCTCGCCTCTACGGCTTGGACCTGCCGCAGGAGTTCAGGCACAGCAGCAAGGCTGCCGAAAGCACGGCAAGGACGCCGGCACAGCGCCGCGTATTTATCAGGCTAGTATACAGGTCTTCTAAAAACTAAAGGCTTTTTTTTATTCGAAAGCTTTGGATGTCTCATCTGTCACAGGTCCCGTTAATTAAGGAGGCGATCGCCGGGCTAAATCCAAGGGCCGAAGTCTCGGCCCCCCGAACCGCACCACGAAAGCATGGACAATTTAGAAGTGGTCCTTTTTGGCTCGCCAGCGCACGCCGGCTGTGGCCCAAAGAAAAAGTCATAGCCGAGAGTTGATAAACAAAACGAAATTATATTCTCAATAATGGCAGATCAAAACAATACACAAGTATGAACCCACCACAATAGTTGAGTACAATATGTCACCAATCAAACAACGTACTACACAGTACAATCAGCCACACTCGAAACAACGGACACAGACAACAATACGCACTACAATGCAGTCGCATGCATTGAACAACCAAGACACTTAAAGACTAAAGAGATAGAAAACCAATTCAGTCCAAAGTTCTTGGAACAAAAGTCTGGATAATACTCTTCCGAGAATCACTCACTCAAAGTCCAGCGTTGTTGTCGTTCCGCTGCCCCCGAAGTTTCTCTTCCAGGAAACCTCTGTCGTTCCGCTGTCCCCGAAGTTTCTCTTCCGGGAAAACTTCACTTGGCCGCTCTCCAAGCTTCAAACTTCTTCGCCGGAAACACATCGGCTTTACACACGCAGCTGTTGCCACGCGTCTTCGCCCGATAGCGGTAGACACACGCTCTTGCCTGTAGCTCGAGCCTTCACCCCTCAGGTGGAAATCCTCTTCTCCTGCTTTGTCCCTACGGACAAAGCCTTCGCCGACTACACGGCGGAATCCCTACGCGCTCTGGCGCTAACTTCCGTCTTCTCCTGATCTCCCATCTCCGCTGCTCGGTTCCGCGCGAGATTCGAGAAAGTTCTCATCATTTCGTCGGCGCGATACGCAGCGAAGGCTGGGGAGAGGGTGAGACGGTTCGAAGGCCGTCCGCGACGGATGACTCAACCCGGCGTCACCCCGCCCCTTTCCATCTACAACATTCGAGGGCTTGCTCGGGCGCCGATGAGAAGAGGTTCGTCTGCGAACCCACGCTTCCGAGGGGAGAAGGACGCGCGCCCGGGGAGTCCCTGTATGCCTGTTTTCTTTTCTTTATCGTTGACCTCTCGGCGCTTTGTCGCGAGAATTTGGCGGCGCGCCCGTTTTTGAGCGCTCGTTTTGTGACATCATCAAATGTAAAAAGCATAGAGTTTCCTAAAGTTAACTCGAGGGGACTCTGGCGCTGCGATCGTTCAGCGACATGGGAATGATGGGTAGTACACACATTCGCCTAGTCTTCGTGCTTGCGGGCAGCGAATCGTACTTGCAGCTTCGTTTATTGCTGGTTACGGTTTTGTTTTGAAGGAAAGAACGAACCTTTTTGAACTTCGTGACCCGATTTGGAAAGGTAAGTCTAAAGAAATAAGATGGTGAAGCGCAACCGCTGAACATTTGTTGATTTTTGTTTAGTGAGAAAACAGCTCCAAGCCACACGAACACACATGGAGCCAAAAGCAGGCCAGAAGAACGAATAATAGACAAATGTGTGTACTACCCATCATTCCCATGCTCGCTGAAGCGGCGTGCGTTGCAGCTCCCATAGACACTAGCGCCACAGTTCCCTCTAGTGTATATTACGAAACTCTATGGTAAAAAGTGACCGTCGGTAGCGTCGACACAAGTGAAGCAAGAACTCATCACGTGGCGATGTTACCATATGAATTGCGCCTCACAGATTGCCGCATTGTGTGACGTTTTCATGGCGTCATCATAGAGTTTCCTAAATATACACTAGAGGGAACTCTGGAGCTAGTGTCTATGGGAGCTGCAACACATGGCGCTTCATCGAGCATGGGAGTTATTTGTAGTACACGGATTTGCCAAGTCTCCGTAATTCACGTTATTTTCGGCTCCGTGAGGCTTGAAGTTGCTTCGTCTCGAAACAACGATCGTGAAATGTTGAGCAGTTGCGCTTCACCACCTTAATCTTTTAGGCTTACCATTTTGAAATCGGGTCACGAAGTTCATAAAAGTCCGTTCTTCTTTTCGAAACTATAGCTGAAACACAACAATGAACGAAGCTACAAGTGCGATTCGCCACCCGCAAGTACGAAGACTATAAGCAAATCCGTGCTTTTAAAAAAGTAACATAACTTACATACTGCCATTGTGAATGAAAATAATGAAAAAATTATGTTTAAAGAAAAAGTGGTTAACGATTTGGAGTACTATGTACTCTATTATTTTTTTCGTTTTTTTTTTATTTTCACCAAAACAAATACAATGGCGAAAAATGGGGAGACGGCAAAAAAGCTGCAGTTATTGCAGCTTGACTAAGCACCGTCCACCCTACAAAAAAAACTCGGTCGAGCCGGATGGAAGAGCTGAAAGATCGTCCACTGCAGTAGGGCTCACAATTTATGAGGTCGCGTTAACAAAAATTAGGGCTTAGGAATAGCGGAGCAGCTAAGCACTAGAGATTACGTTACCAAAGGACACCACTTACTGGGAATATGGGTCTCGTCCTGTGCATAGTCAAAGCTTTAACAAACATCCCCCCCCCCCCGAAAAAAAAAGCCTAGCTACGGGCCAAATCTCCTTCATAATTCTTTACGTTTGCGGAGTGCCCTGCGTAACGCTAAGCTTAGAATATCTCTTTGAACCCTTGACCTACGAAGCGTGACACAAATTGCATAGGTCGCAAATAGCAGAACGTACAGCCGGTCTTGATTCATTCTGAAAATAAAAGACGGAAGACGATGAAGCACAGACGGACAGCGTTTGCCTTTTCCTCGGAGTCAAGTGCCGTAGACAGAGCAGTGATCTTGCAGCAAGCACTGCACTAATACATCACTGCGTTCACTTGAGGACGCGTCGTCGACTCGCAGGCGTCTATGCGCGTGCCTGGTGCTGCACCTCCTCCAGGGGGCGTCGCTGACGCAACTGTTCACGTCTCGCAGCATTCAGACCATGGCTAGCGTGGTGGCCGAGATAGCCGCTCCCTTGGCCGCCCTGGTGATGACGAGCATGCAGACGGGCTTTGTGGTCGTGTTCGCCACCCTGACGCGAGCCGCGGGACGGCGGCACCTGCTGTGCGTCTCTACGGCGCTCATCGCCGTGTGCTTCGTTGTCGTCCCGCCATTCGAGTATCTGACCTTTCGGTGCGTATAGTGAGCAACATGCAAACTACTTTTCAGGCGATAACCTGATAGAGACGTTCAGCGAAACCATCGTGCTGAAAACACAGAGATCAAGGAAGAGGACAGGACGTGCGCTACTTAGTCCTGTGTTCTGAAACAGTATGTTTCTTGGTAACTGTGTTTGCTGCACTACGGCTTCATTGAATGACACAAACCAAATAGACCATAAGTATGTTCTCTTCCCGTCTATGGACGTCTCATCAAGTTTTAAAAAAAAGAAATGTCGGTGGAGCCGGCACCGGAAGGAACGCGTCAAAATGTAAAGTAATCATAGCTGACACCATGAAGACGTCTCAGGTCACTAAAATGTGTAAACGTTACTCTGGCATCGCGTATCATTGCGTCATGATATGAAATCTCCCGTTGTTCAAAGGCGGGCCGACTGCAGGGGTTTCGTCTACACCACGTGCGGTACTGGACGTGTCAACCATATATAGAGCGAGGGCGTGATCAACGTGATGGACTGAGAAGACACAAAGATTTCGCTTTGGAGCCGTTTAAGGCAAATGCGTAAGAGATCGGACTTTTTTTTTTTACAAGCGCTGCCAGCAGATTATGGGGGCAGGAAGGTCCGAGTCAAGTATCAATTCACCTGTTTATGAATAATCTGTAATGAGCGAACTTGCACCGCAATTAACAAACGTTTTGTATTGTGTTTCCGGTACAGTGAACTTTTCTTTTGGGTCGATTCGTCAGTTTCCACCAAATGTTTCGGTTCTCAGATTCAAGTACTCATATATACGCAATAGGTTAATGATATAACCAGCCAGTGTTGGAAATTGAGGTATGATGCAGGACAGAAAGAAGGTGGGACGGTGGGAAGTTCCGGAAGAGAGCACGCAATTAACCGGCGTTGTTAACTTGCGTAGAGTGGCCCCACTTAATTTTGGCGAGCACTCGTAAGACATTTCACAAACCGTTCCACAGCATGCACTTGCTGGCTGAATGGATAATCAAATAATCATATATGAGTGTTCTCAGATTTGACTCGTCTTCACGACATGCATAATTACAATGTATTGTTAGTATGTAACGAACGCGCACCATCGTTGCTACACGGTGGTTATTAACGTTTCACGAAGGATTTTAAGTAGGGCATACTGCACACAAATAGTGCGCGGCGTAGTAACTGACGGTTGGCTTATAAATCCTATTCCAAAGGTTCTTTAGAGATTCGCAGTCAATTCACTCGATCTGGTTGAAGTACCAGCACGCCAATTATATTTTGCAAGTCTAGTGCTTACCCCTTAGAGACGATAAGCTGGACAGACTAATGCCACATGTTCACGGCACGAAAAGCGACAAACAGCGGTAAAGGTCGCCTGAAACAAAGTGCATACTACACACCTGTTCGGAATTCCATAGCCAACTCGCGCCGTAGTTCAAAGATATGCCGGCGCACTTTATGACGATGCGACTAAGTAGAGCTTGTTGATTATCACATGGAATAAGCCACACAGTTTTTTTGTGTGTGTTATGCTTTATTGCTTAATAAGTAACGATAATTACATTTCAAGGCAACGAATCTGGACAAGAAATTCCAATTAAAAGTTTCAGACTATTGCGCACAATGGCTGAACAGTTCCTCTACAATAAGCATTAGTGTTTTTCTGCGTGATAACTACAAAAATTTAAGAAGTCCACGTCACATGCCGGCTTGCGCGCGTTTTGCGTGCACCTGTATGAAGCAAAAAAACAACATCTGTACTGTCTTACAAATATAAAGTTGGAAACTGTATAATTATACATCCAGCAAACAGCGAGCCGGAATATGTTGAAACTGTGGCTAGAGTCAGCTGCATGGGCCACCCTGCATTCTGTATACATACGACCTGATGGAGCGTATACTTGATTCTCCACTGCACGCAGCCAGTGGAACCTCGGAGGAGCGCCCACCGAGACCAGCTGGGTGGCCGTGTACTCGGTGAACCTGCTGGTGCTGAGCTACTCGGTCGGCCTGTGCCACGTGCCGGCACTGCTTACAGCCGAGATGTGTCCGGGCGCCGGGTGCATGCACTACGTTTGCGCCCCGGTGGTGTGGGCCGTGCGATGGCTACTCGCCTTCGCCGTGCTACACTACGACGAGGACATGCTGGCATTCGCGCGCCAGGACTACATGTCCGTCCTGCTTGCATTGGCACTGTTGCTTCTGTGCGCTGTCGCCGTCTGCCTCACGCCGGAGACGGAGGGCCGAACTCTAGCGGACATCGACAGGACCGCATGAACTACGAACGCGCGCGACATATTGGCGCCGTGCGAGTCGCGGGACTTCACTACTCGCACGTCTTGCTTCACGTCTATCATTTCGTTCAGCTAAACTTGGCGCTTGACAATATAGACAGTTTTCCGTCAGCTGTAGTTGGGTTCTTAGTAATGGTTGCGAAGTATAGGGCGCTGCATTCTTGTATAAGAATGCACACTAAGGAGGAGAGACAGATGTCCAGTCTGATATATGTCTGCATAACAGCATAACAAGTCAGGAACGTGGGCTAGTTGCTCGTAACTCGTGATTGAATGGTACTACACCTTAACTCCAAGAAGAGAAAGATCACGTATGCACAAAGCTGTGCGTTTCTCTTATTTGACTGGGTGCGGGTGTGAATTCCGTACAATAATTGAAGCCGACAGCGAATCAATGAGGACACGAAGTACGGTAACACCACTTTCTATTTTTGTCAAGTTTCATAAACTATGTATGCGTTTTTCACTTGTCACTTAGAGATAAAAGCCCCCCCCCTCCCCCCCCCATAGTCACGTAATATGGGAAGGGGGGGGGAGGAGGTGGACGCAAAGTCTGCTCCATAGTTTGACCTAATAGAACGGGGACGCAACGATGAAATGAATTACCGTAGCATCAGGCATTGCTGTGAACATGGGTAAGAATGTGTATATCTCTTGGCACACTTGTTAGTTTTCTCGTGTTCCCGCTTTACTTCGGAATGGTAGCATGTTTTCTGTACATGTGTAAAATGCATATAAAATGCTTAACGGAGATACACACCAGCACAAACCAAAGCAAAAACCTTAAGGCACAAGACCTCCTCGTTCACAAAAAAAAATAATGAAGACACGCTGTTTTTTAATTAAATTGTGGCAAAACAAAAGAAATGAGCACTCAAGATCCCCTTTCTTCATGCAAGAAAATGCGACTATTTTAGCTTCGCGCTCTAAACACAAGTGCTGCCATGGGGTGCTGCTGGGAGGAAACACTTTCTCAAAGCGTGGCCTCTGAAAACTGTTGCACTCACCGCTCAATCTCGGGGGCTATTTATATACCCATGGTATACGTTATCTGCACAAACTCCGTTTCTTGGAAGTCGCTGTTGACCGCAATCTCGACGAAATGAAATTCCGGTTTATTAGTAATGCAAATATTTGATGATGAAAGCGCTTCGTAGATTAGGTAAAACTGCACAGCATTCAGCTTCCTCGAGGCTCTTTGAGGCCGTGCATCGGTGACCTTGTTTCACGTCGCTCCCGCTACGTGGCAGCACTGGTTGCAGTAGACTTGGAGCTCAAATTATAAAATATTCTCCGCTAACGTAACCGCTCATACAAACTGCGGGCGATGTTGTTTGATGACGACGTTATGGCGTGGCGCCACACAAAGCAATAAAGTAACTTGCAGGTTGCGCGAAATTGCTGCAATTTTCAAGACGATCTCCACAAGTCCCTGCAGAGGCTGGCAAAAAATCACGGTACGTATGAAAGTAGTGTGTATTTCAGAATAAACCAACTTTGTGTGGTGGTGGTAGTGGTTAGAAGATGAGAAAAGGCACCTAATTTCTGCAACCCGGTCGGGAGCACGGCGCAGTGCCTAAAATAGGGTTCCTCATCAGGGGAAAGGTGAGGGGAGGGGGGTTGTAGCGCCCCTCTCCCTATTAAGTCGGTGTATGGGCTAACTTTTCGGCTCCCCCCCCCCCTCCCTTGTAGAAGGGGTCGCCCCTACTTGCGCACGCCTATGACTGTCCATCTGGTGCTGAATTACAATTGTCATAAAATTACTCAAATTTTAGTCTTTTTAATTTCCCGCCGAAAAACCAAATTCCTGTATTTCAATGCAACGTTGTGGATTTCACATTATCTTTTGATATTTTCGCATCGGTGTCGTTCAAACAAAGGTTCCTGAAACTTGTGACTTAAGGCTACCTCAAAACACAACGCAGCCCATTTTTATCTAGTAATAATGGGAGTTTTACGTCCCAAAATCAGGATATGACTATGAGAAATGCCGTGGTGTAGTGCTCCGAAATTTCCACAATTTGGTGTTCCTTAACACGCACTGACATAGCACAGCACGCGGTTCTCAGCATTTCTCTAACCTGAAGGATTGCCAGCAAATTGTAAGGAATTCTTATTTGATTGATTGATTGATTGATTGATTGATTGATTGATTGATTGATTGATTGATTGATTGAGTCTCCATCAGAATACGACAACCACGGCCATGATCACATGCGCGACCTTCGAGTCGGCAGCCGAGACCCATAACCACTACACCGCGTCACCAGAGAACACCTATTAGTTCCGTCACACACCTATTTTTATTTGTATAGACATGTATAGGACCTAGCACGCAGACACCGTCAGGAATCTATGACGTACGTCGTACCTTCAAGTTTCCCGGAAAGTGGGAGGAAGGAATCACCGCAGAACATTTGCTCGCCGACGGCAGCGCGAGGCCGTAGTCGTGAAGTCTCGGTCATGTGTGTGGCCGCTGTGCAAGTACCTATACGTGGGCGTGAGGCGCACAACGACGGTCGTTCATGCGACACGCCGCGTACTCTTCCAGTGCACGAACAAATATTGTTTTTAAACAAACAGCTCGCTCGCTTGTTTGCAGACGCGCGTACTGGGAGTCGACTCGTGCGACAAAGAGCGTCTGTGTTCCTTCTTGTGAAGGAAATGCCTTCCCGTTCAAGCGCTCCCGCGGAAATTTAAGATAAGACGCAAGATAGAAAATACGTCATCGCCTGCTTCCACTGAGCCGTCGCAACTTTGAACTCGTGTCTAGGAGCATAGTGTCACTCGAGTCGGAGTCCTGTGCTGAATTAATTGCATAGTGCATCCTACGGCGTGTTATATATTATCACTTAGCTCTTTTTTACGGGTGATGGGCTACTTTTTACTTGTGAAGCAATATTTCCACATATGGCACATTATCCTAAAACCAGCTGCCCCCTGTGTTTACAAAATCGCCATGGTGAATATTTTGTGTAATACTGAAAGCGAGATGATTGAATCTCGCGAACCGAATTTTTTTCTTTTTTCTATTCACAGCCTTCTCCCTTAATTCCGATAATGTTTGTTTCTGCATGAATACGTTTGCTGTATCGTTAAACTGTTTCGTTAGGAAGTCGTATTGCAACTGAGGACATTCTGGTGTGTTATTGATTCCAGCCTGTCTTTTCTATGTACTGACACGTTGCGGGTTTCACTACCTGCCATGCACAGCCATTGAGTCATTATTAATTATCGCATTTCATAGTAGCCGCTAAAATAGCTATTTCACAAACATTTGTTTATTGCTATTCTTTTTTCTTGTTATTCGTCTCTTCGCAAACATTAGGCGTTTTTTTTTTTTTCACAATTCCGAATATCGCACTATATACGCTATAGCCTTGTCTATGGCAACTGTTTCCGCTGACGCACAAGAAAAATATTTATTTTTGCGCACTGACGGAAGAATCAGAATTGTTTTCATTGGCTGCAATTTTTATTTGGACTCCATAGCCGAAACATTGGGACTGAAGGTGCACTTGCACAGCCGTTTTATTTATTTGACAATGGTCTTCGTGTTGACTGTCAGGGTAAATATCCTCGCCGATCTCTTCAATACGGTAAATGGGCTACTTTATACCTGTCAAGCGAAATTCCCACTTAAAACACATTTTCCTAAAACCAGCTTGCCTCTCTGTTTATCGATTTCAACTGTTCCTCTCGCGTCATTCAAAATTGTCATGGTGAACAGTTTGTGTAGTACTGAATGTAGGACGGTTGACCTTTACTAAATGATTCTTTTACGTCGGAGTATTAATATGATGTTGGGATTTTTCTCACTCACCGGTAGAGTTAAAATCTCAAGGCATCGTACGTATAAGGCGTTTTGAGCTTGTTAAATATAAATTCGCCTCCATCCTTCGTTAAGACGGCTGTTCTGTTCTCCCCCTCTTGAGTTGTCAGTTTAGGTTCGTTACTTTTGGTTGGTTGGTCGGTCGGTCGGTTGGTTGTTGTGCGAACGCCTATAGCTAGCTGGGTGGGCTGAGTGTCTGTTTGTTACATCACACCAAATTATTTCGCTCCGCAAAGGCACACGACTCAGTAGCATGCTTTCGTTACTCTATTCTTTCTTCAACAAAGCTCGTCACGTTTACTTCCCGGCTAACTTTCGTAGTTTATTTATAGTGAGGGACAGAGGGAGAGGAGGTGCTGCGGAGGGAGGACGATTTTGCGTCCGGGGAGCGCTAAGGATAGATTTAAGTCGTCTAATTCACGTAACGCTTTTTTGACGTAAGTAGATGCGGCGCTACCCACAGTTACTGCTATAGAGTCTGCAATCAGGCAACGTGATAGCATGTCTTCTCCAAAACGGGAAGGACCCGGAAGATACATTCTAGACGTCGCTAATTCGCACCTTCGTCACATTTCCTCATTTATGTAGCGGCTCTTCACAGGACGTATATATACATCGGCGGTTGTAAGTATATATATGCATGCACGATGCATGTCGCGAACGAGAGCACACCAACTGCCGACAATCGCCAAAATTTTTTTTTTTTTTGCTAACAGCGAAGCACTGTACGTGATGGCTCCGGAAGCGTTCTTTTTAATTGCTATTATTACGTCTTGCCGCACACACTGGAATCACGACAGCTCCAATGCTACATAAGCGGGCGCTGCACGCATCTAACTCAGTTGAGCGTTCGAAAAAAAAAAGGCTACAGTTATAGCTGTAATTATAGTTGAACATGTGGAAGAAGCAGTATAAAGCTGTAGCGCATCGGTGACGGTAAATACAAAGGAGGAGCCACGATTCTACCACGCACTTTTGTCCTGTAATGCCGGACATTTGAAACAATCGTGCCGCCAGGTCCTTCCACTTTCTTTCTTTCTTTCTTTCTTTCTTTCTTTCTTCTTTCTTTCTTTCTTTCTTTCTTTCTTTCTTTCGTTCTTTCTTTCTTTATTTCTTTCTTTCTTTCTTTATTTCTTTCTTTCTTTCTTCTG